AACACTGGAGGAGACCCTGGGGGGCACAGGGGAAGGAGTGCTGGCTCCTCCAAAGCAGGTAAAATTCCAGACATACTTGTGTCTTACCTCACTACACAGTCCACAGCTCCTTGTATAGAGTGGTAGCTGGGAACCTCCAAGAGGTTCCAGGGTTCATGGAAGCCAAGAGTGGTTACACATCCTTTATCCAGCAGGGAAATGTGCTGCCCCAGAGTAGAAAGAATGGCTTATTCCCTTGTTCTCTGCTCTAAAGACCATTAAGGATCTTGAGCCAATAGGAAAACAATCCACAACCTGCCTTCCCAGCCATTGTATAGTGACCCCTCTCCTTATGTTCCAAAGACCCCTGTAATAGGTAGAAATCCGTAAAGTAGCATCCTTAGATATTTGTCCCTTGCTATATCACGGTTCACTTATTGCTACTTAACGGATTTTCACCTATCACAGGGGTCTCTGGAATGTAACTCCCACAATAGGAGAGGGATCACTATTTACCTATTTTTTTTTAACTCCATGATACAGTGAAGCAACAACAGTGAACCACGATATAGTGAGGGACAGCTATACTTCCAAGACATTGCCTCTCTTGCTAGGTTCTTCCCTAGGTGGGAAAGGGCCGGCTCTTTTCTCTCATGGTTGAGGTCTTGGTTCTCTCTTCTCTTTCTCTCAAGGCAATGTTGTTTGTGTATGTGTGTGTGAGATTTTTTTTTTTTGTCGGTTGTGGGGCTTGAACTCTGGGCCTGGGTGCTGTCCCTCAGCATTTCAGCTCAAGGCGAGCGCTCTACCACTTGAGCTACAGCGCCACTTCCGGTTTCCTGGTGGTTTATTGGAGATAGGAGTCTCACAGTCTTTCCTGCCCGGGCTGGCTTTGAACCGCGATCCTCAGATCTCAGCCTCCCGAGTAGCTAGGATTACAGGTGTAAGCCACCAGCACCTGGCTTTGTGTGTGAGATTTTTAATGTGTTTAAGACATTTCTGTGTAGGGGCAAGTGTTGGACCACACGTATAAAACCTCACTTCCACGGTGAATTTCAAAAAACGACCATGAAAACTGAGTGTTGGTGGCTCATGCTTCTAATCCTAGCTACTCAGGAGACTGAGATCTGAGAATTGTGGTTCAAAGCCAGCCGAGGCAGGAATGTCTGTGAGACTCTTATCTCCAATTAACCA